AAAAATCCTAAGTGTGAAGATACTTACGGGCTAGGGGTTCCAAAGATGCTTCTGGATTGAAAAAATTGTACTTTCGTAAGTTGGCAGTAGTCACAAGCAGCATCGTGTCGCGATTCTGCTCGGGTAGACGATCGAATGTCACAATTTGATTAAAGTCTGTCAGAGCCGTCAACTTGGTCGTCTTATTTTCTGCAAAGAGACAAAAAGTTTGTTAATTTCACTTATAGACAAGGAGCTGAAGAAAAGGGACAGTTTGCAAACCAAAGGAAAGGAAAACCTACTCGACCCCCTAAATTGGCAAACACCATCGTATTCAAAAAAGAAAACTTTGGTCTCATAAGCCCCAACATTATTGGGGTAGCCAAATATTCCTCCATCAATCAAGGATCACTTAAAGAGGTAGTAAGAGTCTTTGTCTTTGCTCTTCTTCAAATAGTAAGTGCAGGTGAGCTCCAACGCTGTCAACTCGCCAAGACCATTTTCGCCACATGTGATATATATATAGCAACCTATATCATATATGCATTGGACATCAATTGCAATGGCGCAACCTCAAAGTGGTTGAGGATTGACCTGATGAAGGGGTGAAAAGGTATCAACACCCCACATTTGTAGATTGCCTCGGAGATCACAGTCATTTCCTCAAGGGGATTCCAAGCTGTGTATGTCCTATGCTGGTAGACATCTACGCTAAGTGCGAACTGGTCTACCGCTCTTTGTATCTCATCCCGGGTGGCCATCATAATGTCTCTTGCATGAGACCCGCTGAGGTGCCCAGTGCCTGTGAGCTCGTCCCCTCGGCTGCTCTGGTCACTAAAGTGTTTATTGCTTCTAAAGTCTGAAAAAGGGACGACATGTAGAGATGACTCAGTCCTCGTACAATATTTTGTACGATGACGTGGAAGAGCAAAAGAAACCCTAATTTACCTTCCTTAACCCCTGGAAAAACCCTTGGGAATGAGTTCCCAAAAATCCGTGCCCCAGGATCTCACTTTTTATAAAGAAAAAATTCTCTTTTTACCACTGTCCAGAAACATGCATCATGTAAGCTTACCAGGCAATTCATATCCACCATTACCATAAAGTCAAGCTTTTAACAAAAAATAATAGAGGAAAACGAAGGATAAGTCTTCCTTACCTCTTGACTATTGGGGACAAACTTCCTATCGTAACGAAGAGTGCACATTAACTGGAAGAAGAACGGACTTATTTCCCAAGTGCAAGAGTTTTGCTTTTTCTCTCTGAAAATGTGAGTTCTGTGATAAAACTTGAGGTGAACCTAGGGTTTTATAGGGGGAAAGACGACAATTGGTTTCCTTAGCAAGCAACGTTTGGGCGGGAAACGTTTCTCGCCATTGATTATGACCATGTGTCATTAATCCACGTGAAAAGTAACCATCGCGCTTCGTGGATGCCAGTCGATGTTTCCCTCCATTGGAGTAACCAAGCGTCAGCGCGGTTACCTCCTCCACATTAAATGCGCTCTCATTCGCATTCAATGCTCTAAAAGGGAATGTCATTTCAGCATGGCTTACATTTAATGTGCATGGCTGGCACTTATTGTTCAAGAGACACGTCTGTCAGAATAAAATTTATTTTATTAACCAGACCAGCTATCAAGCGCAACGGATAACATCTGAAGAGGTCGTTCGAGTAAAACACTCTTTGCCATGTATCGATTTTGAGACGACGTGATCCCTTGTTTTCGGTAAAAATGTGCTAAGTATTTTCAAGTCGTGAACAGCGGATTAAATTCAAAGCATGTTTGTATAGCACTGAGTAGGGTCCGACCTAGGTCTTTGAACCTGCGGGAGAAGGGTGCCTCATATCGCTTGTGCTATTCTTAAAGACCTATGTTACCACCTCCTTACAGCTCGATCAAGCGTCACTCAGGATAAGTCAAGTCACGACATAATCATGAAGTTCTCAAGGTTCAATCCTTAAACCTTAAAAACTAGGGGGCTTCTGTTATCCCTAAAAAATCAGGGCTGACATAAGCGCACGCCAGCACGGGCCAATCAGAGTTTAGGAAGGCTTTGTGTTGTCCAGACACTGCCACATCGCGCAAGGACGGAATAGGTAAGATTGTCGTCAGTGTGGCAAGTGAAAGGTTGGCTTGTGAGTAGCTAGGAATTGACCATCTGCCCTAGCCCTACGCGATTTAAGGATATCTCCTGTGCAGACAACCAATAGGAAGCGGGTTAGTAATTGTACTACACCTGTCCGACTGTAGAATCATGATTACTACCTTGAATCCCTCGACTATAAATTGAGGGCTCCTCTCTCATTTACGGGATTGACTCATTCTTTAGTTTCTTAAAAAGCAGTCTCTCTCTCTTTGTATTTAAGTTTTCTCTAGACTGTAACTTGGCTCACTGTACGTGACCTAAATTGTAATCATCTATTAATACATATATAGTGGTTGAGCATCCGAATTACTTTAAAAATCATCTCTTGTCCTTTCTCTCGTTGCACAATTCCATATCACGTGTAATTTCTAAGTCTGCTTAACACGTTACACGTGCAAGTCGTTGATGTCGAAATCAAGCATCAACACCTTTCAACAAGTCCTTGTCTCTGTACTCATACTTGACTCCTTTCTCCGCTAATGCAATTCTCACCCTCATGCGAAACATACTCGGCTAGAAATCCAACAGAATCACCTCCTCCGCCATTTTTGGAGAAATTCTTTAGTTGAAGATGATTAGAGATTGAAGAAATGAAAAAAATTTCTTCTGTATTTAAGACAAGTGTGTGTAACTGGCCGGCCAATAAGTCAACTCATAAGACAATTTTTGGATAAAAAATTCTAATTACTTATTCATGAATCTTGAAAATTGAAATTCTAAAAGTTTTGATTAATGAATCATGTATATATATAAACATTCATGAAATATTATATATGGATCCATCTTGAAACTTGTGATTTTAAGTAAATTTATATTTAAGAATCTGTATTTTCGAGAGTTGTTTAAAGGAGTAGATAGTGGGTTTGATTATATAGTTTGTGATTTGTTTTTTATTTGGTTTAGTTGTTTATCAGATTTCTTTAAAAGGATTTGTTGACAGAACTTGAATAATTTTTCCCTGGAGAATATATTCCAGACAACGTGCCGATGTAATACACTCCTTTTACCTAAAACCATTTTTATATTTTGACAATTATGTCAACTTTGTATTGGAGCTCTTGGTAAGATTCGTTAAGACCAAATTTAAATATCAAACCAATAGAATTGAGTTTCGTGCTTAAAATTGTTGTTATTTTTACTTTCATAAAATAAATGATTTTTTTTTTTTTTTTTTTTTATGGTGACAGGAATGTTTAGGCCAGCCTAGATTTTTTGATGATCAAGGATGTTCAGGTTAGCTTGGGGGTATCTGAACTAGTTTACGTGTACTTAAACTAATCTCTCCGGATCTTAAAGTGAATAACCGGATAAATCTCCTCAGTGGTCACCTCTACTACGGCTTGGGGAGAGTTGAACCTAAGAACCCATATTGAATCCCTTTGCTTTTTTATCATCAAATCACCTAGTAGTGGATAAAATAAATGATCTTGACGACCTATTTGTTTGTTTCTTTTTTTATTTACTATTAAAGCTTTCTTTTACTTCTAAGTTTTTCATAGTATTTTTTCTTTAAGGAAAAAAATTACTTTTTTTTCTTTTAAAACTCCTAAAAATATGTAAGATTTTGTTTTCCCTTTTTTAGTTTTTTTAATTCTTTTAAAACAGGTTAAATAAGAAAAAAGTTGTTGTCAGGTAGCACTAATTAGCTTAGAACAAGCATAAGATCTCAAAAAAACGAGAGAAATTTGGATTGCGTTTGGTACACCCTTCTCACCCTATCGTATTCTATTTTTTTTTTTTTTTCCTTAAAAAAATGATAAATGTGTTTGTTTTAATATTCATCAAAATCCAATCATATTCTATTCAACTCAAAACATTTAATAATTACCTTTCATAATAAAAGTTTATAAATTAACAAAAAAACACTCTCACCAACCCAAGCCACTATCAACCACCAGCAGTTGTTGCCGCCACCTTGGCCAAAACGACGCACAACCGACTAGATATGGTCGGTCGTGCACTGATCTTGTCTTTTTCGGTCAAATCCACCGTGGATCTGGCTGAAAATAACTAAAGATCTAACAGTTGACGACAGCTAAATTCTGGCCATAGATCTAGCATTCTCCCGCTAAATCCATGGTGAATCTGGCCGAAAAAGACAAGATTAATGCACGATCGGTCAGATCTAGCCGATTGTGCGCCATTCCGACGATTGACGGCCACCGTCCGGTGGTGGTGGCCAACTGCTGAAAATCGATTGAGTGGATAGAGGTGTTTTTGTTAATTTATAAACTTTTATTAATGAGGGATGTTTAGCTAAACTAACAAATGTAAGGGGTTAAAAAATAATAAAAATATTTTTAGAAAATGTTTTCCAATAATGTACCAAACACATTCTCATAATCTTATCCTAAAATGTATTCACAATATGATTTTACAAACACTATTCAAAAAAGTGTATTCAGAATATTTGTCAAAAATAAAAAATAAAAAAATTTCTATGAGGTTTGAAAATGATAAGTCTCCCCCAGAAATTCCTTGCCTAATTTGCAAAGCAGAAGTGTTTGTCCGCAACCAGACCAAAAGTCTGGGAAAGAATTTAACACTCACTGATAGACAACTCTGCCAGACTGAACTAAGCAACGTATGCAAAACACTGTCACATTTCCTGTAAACTCTTCACCTATGAAATCAAAACTGCACCCAAAATGACACAAGAAATTACTGGTATGAGCATAGAATGTGTATCCCAAATCTCCCTCTACTTCAATGGATTTCACTGTTCAGGCTCAAGTCATAAATTCAAACCCGGTAACAAATGAATATCCAGAGAAGTTGCCTCGACTTTAATTTCCTTTAATCACATATACCATCTGTCTATCACCCAACAATTAACGCTGATAATCAGAGCATGCGACATGGAAGTTAATATGATCTATACAATAACACGAAAGAGGTTAAAACCAAACAAAAGTACATAAACTGTCTTTTGTTATAGTTCATTTATGCTGAATATAACAAGGCTCATTGGCTCATGGAGAAAGCAAAATCCAAGCCAAATTCAACGCTACATGCAGCATTATACAACTAACCATAATCTCCAAGGAAAGATATAGTAACACAATTGTACTTATAATTTTGCTCATGTCCTTGTGCTGTTCCTCTACTCCAAGCCAAATTTCTTCCTCAACTCTAAGCAAAATCCGAACACTTTCTTCTCATCAGGAAGTGTCTTAGAAATGCTCTCTATCTGCATGCATCTCTTAGCCCAAGCAATGAATTTGGGGCACTCTGCCTCTAAGCTAAACTTGCCCATGGTTTCATATGTGTAAAACCAACAATAATACGGGATCAAACATACATCCACATACCCGAGGGTCTCCCCCCCAAAGTATGGTTTGTCTCCAAGCTGCTCTTGCAGCAGCTTAATAATTTCAATGAATTCCTTCTTTGCTGCCTCCTGCTGTTCTCCTGATGTGTACCATGTCCTCCTCCCAGCATCAAATACCTACAATTGTGTTATTATTAATTTCCATATTAGTTCATTACCTGTGAGATTTAACTCAACTAATCAGACAAAAAACTTCCAATAAGTCCAAATAAATATATGACAATTTAATAACTAGAAAAGTTTTAAGTATTGCAAAATTTGTGGAGTCTGCCACCATTTCATCCAAGAGAATTGAAATTTCCCCAAATCTCCTCCAAAAAATGACTGCATTTCTAGGAAAGCTACCAAATCAGCAGTAGGTGGGCTAATGCAAGATGCCAGATGCTGCCTTAACTTCGACATAGTATGACATATCTTTCCTCTTCAGTTAAAAGGGCAAAAATAGAATTGAAATTGCAAAAAGAAGACCACTATTCCTATTCCAATCATATCAACCAAACAAACAAGTTTGTTCTGTAAAATATACATTAGTTATCCAGATCTATATCAATCAGCCACTCGAAGAGTTATATTCAGAAGGCCTCAAATTTGGGTAGTTACAAGCACATTATCCTGGTTTTGAAGTTGTCAAAATCTTCAATAAAATATGAAAATCATCAAATATATAGCCTTGAAAACTCATCACAATCCTCACATAGAACTTCAACAACTATTAAGAACCATCCACAGAGGACAAAAAACTAAACCAATGGAATCTATTGCATTCTAGCCAAACCATATTGATATTATATCAATGAAGTTGTTTCTATTCAGAATTGAACTTACAATGACCTGGACTTATACACAGAGACCTTGATGCATACACATATATGATTGTCCTAAGGATAAATAAGCATAATGCTATAAAATCACAACCAAATCACAAAAATAAAAAAAATAAAAAAAAATAATAATAATAATTGTCAACTTCCAGTAACACAGCCCAACAAGCCAAAAGCAATTTCTGTACACAATATTCAACTTCGGTTTAGAACCTAAAGAATATACTCCCATAAACGTACTTCAATTCCATTCATTAAATCAAAATTAACTTACCTTCTTTTCAATATAATCAACCCAGAAGCTAGCTTGAGCTCTCCGGTAAGGATCAGAGGGAAGTAAAGAAGCTTTATCCTTCCACACCTCATCAATGTACTGCACAATGATGGATGACTCACAAATGGGTTTGCCATTGTGAATGAGAACTGGGATCTTTTTATAAACTGGGTTCATCTGCAGAAGCAAATCACTCTTGTTCCTCAAATCCTCTTCTTTCAACTCATACTTGATTCCTTTCTCCGCCAATGCAACCCTGACCCTTATTCCAAACATGCTGGGCCAAAAATCCAACAAAATCACCTCATCTGCCATGTTTTGATCAACTTATTTACATCATTTCTACCACATTTCATTGCATATATATTCACAGTTAGAATAACAATCATATTAATAATCAAGAAAGACCAAATTTTAATTACATTACATTAAATTTAAAGGCGAAATCAAATAGTTAGATACTAGTTTAGCACTAAGCATACCAGTTTTAACTGCACTGGAGTTGACAGAATGCTGATCGCTGTCATTAAAATTCTTAGCCATGCTTGCTGCATTGAATTTGGAGGAAGAGCTGAAATTACACTTCAATGTCTTGGAATTTTGTGTCTTCAGTTGACCGGGAAACCCGTTGAATCCCCACAACTCACTTCTAATATCCGTTAACCGGCAGCTGTTAACCGGAAAAGTTTGAGCTCTGGGTTGTTTCGAATGAACCGCCGCCGCTGACGGCGGGCACATAACAGATCCGTTAAGTGAACCCATCTTCTTCCTCAACTCATTGAGGTTGAAGTCCTAGCAAAAATGTATATATAATAAGAAAATAAAATATTAGAGAGGAAATTAATTGGGGAAATCAATTAAATAACTTTTAATCTTATATTATTCTTAATAAATATTCAGAAAAAATATATCAAAATTAATCAAAAGTGTGAAAATTTAAAAAATGCATTACCCATCTACATAAATCATTAGAAATAGCAAATTCTTAAGGATTTGGCCAAACTAGAGATAGATAAAAATACATCCAATGGATTAGTCTATATTCCGAAGTTACAAATTTATTTTTAAATTCATACATTTATACTTCTTACCCTTGGACATCCGTTTATTTTAGTATTTTGGATAGGATTTTTGATACTTTTAGAGTTGGGTGGGAATAACGACGTAGGATTTAAAAATTAACAAAAACACCCATTTAGGTTTGCTAATTTATAAAACACCCCAATATATAAAAATTTTGTAAAGTGACAAAAACACCCCCACCCACAGTTGCCAGATTTCGGCCACCACCACCGTAATCTGGCGTTACGGCGCACGACCGGCTGGATCTGGTAGTTCGTGTGCCGATATGGCCTTGTTTGACCAGATCCACCACGGATCTAGCCAAAAAAGCTAGATCTACGGCCATTTCTAGCCGTCAACAACGGCCAAAGATATGGCCGTCGTTATCAACCAGCTACGGCCAAAGATTTGGTCGTCAACGATCAGATCTTAGACTGTGGATTTGGCTGAAAAATGATAGATCGGCACACTACCGGTCAGATCTAGCTGGTAGTGTGCCATTATACCAGATTTCGGCCACCTTCCAGCGGTGGTGACCAGAATCTGACAAATGTGGGTGGATTGAGGTGTTTTTGTTAATTTTTAAATTTTTTTTCCTGAGGGTGTTTAGTTAAATTAATAAACTTAAGGGATTTAAAAATAGTTGAAGAAAATATAATAGTATTTTGAGGATAGTGAAACAAACAGTTATTTTGAGGATAAGATTGGAAATAGGATATGGAATAATGAAACAAACGGACTCGAATCAAAAACTCCTCCGTCTTACGATCTCTTTTTGTCTTGCTTTTTCCTTTGTATCCTTTTGTTTTGTTATTTCTCCTTATCTTTTTATTCTCGTATGGAGCTAACCACGTATTCTCGCCTGAGGTTTAGCGAAATCCTAAGTTAATACCCTTAATTATACTTATTCAAGATTCTCACCCTGAAAGTAATATCGTTTCCTTTATTTTAACAGATTCCTATTTTTTCACTATAACGCGGTGTACTTTAGCATGCTAAAGTGCATCGAAGCTTTCTTTGGCAGAAGATCCGTTCATTTTAGAAAAAAAGGGCTCAGGTTAACAGAGTCCAAGCTGACAATTTTTGGCTTTTTAGAATGGATTTTGAAGTCCAAAATCACTTTTAAGCCCACAATTGGACTCCCAACAATCTCCTCTATAAAACTCATACCTTCATTTGCCGACCTCACTCACCGTTTTCAATCACCTCGAATAATAATTAATTACGTTACTTTAAAGATAGAAATCTATAATAAATGTAACCAGAAATATCTATTTAGAATTTCGTTAAACTTCGGGTGAGATTATGTCGTTTACTCTTCTTGTATATAACAAAATGATGAAGGAAATGAAAACTTTAAACCGCCAAACAGGTGCGTAGCTATATCAATAGCTCAATACTTGATGTACAAGTAAAAAGTATAAGATGGATAAAATCATAAAGAGTCATGTTAAAAGATGGAAGATCTTAAAACCAAACACAAGGACACACAAAAAGCGTCCTTCATTGTAGTTTATTTAGAAGGAAAATCACACGATTCGTTAGCTCATAGAGAAAGCATAACACAAGCCCAAAACAAAACAAAAAACAAAAACACACTGATATATATTTCTCTAGTCCAACCCAAACATCTTCCTCATCTCTATGCAAAATCCAAACACTTTCTTCTCATCAGGGAGTGTCTTCAAAACACTCTCTTTCTGCGCACATCTCTTTGCCCATTCAATCAGTTTGGGACATTCTGCCTCTAAGCTGAAGTTCCCAAACTTCTCATACGAGTAAAACCAACAGTAGTAAGTGATCAAACTTATGTCCACGAATCCAAAAGTCTCTCCCCCAAAATAAGGCTTCTCTCCAAGCTGCTCTTCCAAGGTCTTCATTATTTCAACGAACTCCTTCCCTGCCTCCTGCTCTTCCCCTTTTGTACACCATGTCTTCGTCCCAGGACTGTTTACCTACAATTAAAGGGTGTGTTCTTTTATAAATTTTGTGTATTTGTTTTCTGTTTTTTTAAATATTGTAAATAATTGAAAAACATGTCGATATATTTGTATAAAAACTGTATTTGGAAACCCAATATTTGTTTGAAAACACACACCCAAAAAAAAAAAAAATTTATCATTTATACAACCCATAATTTTTTTTTTCAAATTACTACTTATTTTATTCATCTCGAATATGTCAATTGTTTTTTACCTATTGGTTAAAATATTGATTCGAAAAGATTTTTTGTTTTATAAAAGAGGAGAGAAAAGATGAAGATAAATTTTTTTATTGGAATTTTCATTTTGGTCCTCCTCCTAAATTCTTTGTTTTGTGAAAATAAAAGTAGAAAATCTCATTTTCGAACACTTTATCACATAATTTACCAGAGAGAAAAAAGAAAAATAGGAAATGAGTTCGTAAATTAACGAACTCGACCTTTGTTTTTCTGGATTGAAATATTATGCAAACAAGAGAATCAGGATCAAACTACAGAAGTTTCATTACCTTCTTATCTATGTAATCAACCCAGAATTTAGCTTGAGCTCTCTGGTAAGGATCAGAGGGAAGCAAAGGAGCTTTATCCTTCCATACTTCATCAATATACTGAACAATAATGGAAGATTCACAGATGGGTTTACCATTGTGAACGAGAACTGGGATCGTCTTATGAACTGGGTTCATTTGAAGAAGCAAATCGCTCTTCTTCTTGTTCACCAAGTCCTCTTCTTTATACTCATACTTGACTCCTTTTTCTGCCAAAGCAATCCTGACCCTTAAGCCAAACATGCTCGGCCAGAAATCCAACAAAATCACTTCATCTTCCATTGTTTCAAGAAACTCCGATGAAAAAAAAAAGTCAAAGGTTGAAGAAATAGTGAATAAAGTTGGAGAAAAATTATCAAGTTTACTTATTCATCATTTCTTATTCTCATTTTCTTCAAGAGCCATCTTAATGTTGTTGTGTCATTGCCACTCATTGGTTTAATCGTAGTCGGTGTTTCTTTTGACTCTTGCCTTGACTACTGACAAAAGAGATCAGATAAGTATAAAGTGGAAACTACAATTTTGTGACATATAATTTTATAATAAATAAACGAGAAAGGCGTTGTTAGTTTATGTATTACATTTATCCTTTTTCATTTTTGACATGTTTTGGCATTTGCTGATGAAACATATTAACTGCCACTGTTACGTATGATCAAGGCCGGCTCAGGGGGTCGGCAGGTGAGGCACCTGCCTAGGGCCCCACAAAAAATGAGTACCTAAATTTTTTATAATTTTTTTTATTATATTAAAAAATGAAAATGATGTATAATTTTTTATCCAGATCAAGGCCCTCAAAAAAAGTCAAAAAAAACTCAAATTTATTATAAACTTTTTACCTATGTTCCCACCTAAAGTTTGATGAAATAGCAAATTTATATCTCTAATTTCATATATTTCAATTTACACCCCTAAATTAACATATTGAATTTCTTTTAATAATGAAAGACTAAAATAGTCATTTACATGTCTCAAATTACTCACCCCCAATTCAATACCAAAATTCGACATTCACATAAATCATCTTCACCCCTCTTTCGCCGCTAACAGTTTTTGGAGTTGATTTCGATCGATTTTCTCACCAAAATCGACCGGAATCATCACTTTATCATTTCCCAAATGTTTTCCCAGTACAACAACTGAGTATTCTAAGAGAATATCAAGTCAGTCTCTTTCTCGTAGGTTATCTTTACTCTAAAAATAAAAATTATAATTAGAGAATGAGTTCAATATTAGAATCCCGAAAATAAGAGGGGGAGTCTTCTATTTATAGTAGAGGAATTCAAGGTAATGATTACAAATCTACAAGTGGGTAGGTGTCGTGCAAGTCCTTCCTTGCCTCTTACTGGCTGTTAACTTAGGAAATATCCTCAAATTACCTTGGGCTTGGGCAGGTGTGCGACCCTCAATCACTCAGACAAAACTTGAATCTACCAAATTGATGACAACCATACTCCTTCTGTCATGGAACAATGTGGCAGCTCCTAGGAGGCACAAAGTCTTCATAAACTCTGATTGGTGCTTGCTAACGTAGGCTAGCTTCAGCTGATTTTTTTGGCATAACAGAAGCTCCCTAGTTCTTAAGGTTCAAAGATTGAATCTTGAGAACTTCATGATTATGTAGTGACCTGATTTGTCTCGAGCCACACTGTTACAAACAATATGAGATTGATAGTTTGACTCGACCAGCAAACTGAGTGTAGATCGTGACATAGGTTTTCGAGTACTACACAAGCAACCTGATGTGATCGTTTCACAAAGGTCCAGCGACATGATTCAGATCATGATCAGTGCTATCAAAGTGTGTTTTGTGTCCTACCCGTCATTCACGACCTGAAAACACTTAGAAAATTTTGCTGTCAAAAATTAAGAATTGTATTGCTCGGTGTTCGAATTTGACATGTGGAAAAGATGTCTTATTCGAATGACCTCCTCAGATGTTATCCGTTGCACTTGACAATTGTCTTGGTCAATAAAATAAGTTTTATTTGACAGACATGTCCCTGCATAATAAGTGTCAGCCATGAGCATTAAATGCAAGTTATGCTGAAACGACATTCTCTTTTGAAGCATTAAATGCGGATAAGGGTTCATTTAATGTGGAGGAGATAATCACGCTGATGTTAGCAATTTCAATAAAGAGAAACGCTAGTTGATTTTCACAAAGCATGAGGGTTACTCTTCACGAAGCATGAGGGTTATTCGTCACGCAAATTAATGACATGTGATTATAATCAATGGCTAGAAACACGCTTTCGCCCAAACGTCGCTTGTAAAAGAAACCAAGCATTTTCTTCCTCCCTATAAAACTTGAAGCCCATTCTAAGTTTTTCATAGAAATCAAACTTTCAGAGAGAAAAACAACGTTTTTGCACTCAAGAGATTAGTTCATCATCTTCCAAATTGATGCGCACTCAACGCTACTACAGGACATCCCTTCCCAACAATCAAGAGGTAAATAAACTTCTTTTCTTTTTCTCTTTTTCATTCCTATTAAAAAAAAAAAACTTGGTTTTTTATAGTAATGGTGGGTGCAAACATCTGGTAGGTTTAGGTGATGAGCATTTTTGGGTAGTGTTTGAAAAGAAACACTTTTAAGAGTCAAAACTTAGGGCACAGATCTTTAGAAAATATTTTTTAAGAATTTTTAGGGTTTTTAGTGGCAATGGAAGAGAAACCAGGGTTCTTGAGGTAACTTATGCGAAGTTTGAGTCACCCCTACATGTTGCCCTTTTACATACTCTAAGAGCAATGGACATCCCCAAGGCGAGAACAGTTGAAGAGGGAAGCTCGCAACTACCGGGCATCTTGGCGGGTCCCAGAAAGGTGATACGATATACCATTTCAAAGGAAGAAATTCATAAAGCAATAGACCAGTACGCGATCAATGTGGACATGTATCGGTACAGGTCGCATACTGCTCAGGATCCTCCCGAGGGAATGGTCGTGATCTCAGAAGAGATCTTTAAATGTGGAGTGAGAATTCCCCTTCACCCCTACATCAGGTCGATTCTTGACCACTTCGAGATCGCACTATTCCAGCTGACGCCAAATGCATATATGATAACGGTCGCTATGTATATTGCATTTGGTGAGCACAACCTCGGCGAGCCAACAGTAGAGGAGCTCAGTTGCGCATATTACTTAAAGATTCGTACTACCTCTCCAAGTGATCAACGATCAAATGAGAGATATTTGGTTACCCCAGCAATGTTGGGGCTTATGAAACCAAGTATTTTTTCTTCTAGTACGATAGAGTCTGTAATTTTAAGGAGTCGAGTATGTTTTCCTTCTAATTTCTAGATCGCTCATCTTTTAGCCTTAACTCTTCCTTAATATATTAGGCTAACGAACATTTTACTTTCTTATAGGAAACAAAACGGCCAAACTATCGGCACTAGTTGATCGCAGCCGTATTGAAGCATTTGGTTAATTGCCCGACCAAAGTCACGACGCCAGGCTGCTTGTGACTACTGCTAACCTTCGGAAGTATGGGTTTTTCACCTCTGACGCATCTTTAAAAGGTCCAGCTTGTAAGTATTTCTTACACAGAAAAATTTCAAGTCTTTATTAACAAAAGAAGACTTTCTTTGCTGACACATCCTTATGCCATGCAGTAACTATGCCACCGAAGGTCACAAAGATGACAAAGAAGCCTAGGGGGTTCGCATTCCCCAAGATCAATCCAACTAAACTAGCTGGAGCAACCTCCAGCGATATCCCTACAAGGGGGATACAAATTGGTGCCGAGAGGCAATAAACCATTGGGCGACGTGGAAAAACTCCCCAGCCTGTCGCTGCTCTCCTGTCAAGGAAGAAAACTGCAAACAAAAAGTCAAAGAAGGTTTCGAGATATTGCTAGATAAGCTATAGCCCTATCAACTTTTCTCTACAAGGATGACCTCGAGGGATGCTCCCAGGCCCTCGACTGCCCCTAGGAGCTCGCAAGGGAAAGAGGGACTGACCACAACTACTCAAGGGGAAACAGGCGAGCAACAGGCAAGCCAAGAACAAGTCGAAACGGTCCGTACCATGACGAGACTTGACTTGTCGATGTTAGATCTTTTAGGGAAACTACTAGACCATTTACGGTTGGTGGTTTACACCCTTTCAGAATGCTAACTCACCACAACCTTTGATAGGTTCATGGCTTCTTGACCTATTGACTTAGTTGCTACTGCATTTCAGATACAAAGTCAGGTAAAATAACTTGCTCTCTTCGAGAATTCCTTCATATAAGTCGATCTTTTAGCTTTTTTTTAAAAAAAAAAAAAAAAACTATTTTTTTTAATAAAAAAAAAACTAACTCTTTATTCCCTTCTATATAGTCTTTGCTTGCCTTGAATATTGCTTACAATAAGATGAAGATCAATTCTGCTGACAAATTCCATGACATGAAGGAGGAAATTGCCAAATTGAAGCTAGATCTTGCGGCTTCAGATGAAGAAGCAAAGGCCGCCCATATTCAAGCAAAAATATATCTAACTGAAAGGAATTCTGTTATGCAAGTAGCAGATTTCCAAGAGATCGAGCTCGAGAAGAAAGATAGTGATAACAAAAAGTTCCAACGAATAATAGCGAGGCTCACTAAAGAGTTGGGCCAAAGAGAAAATGAGCTGTAAGCGAATTCAGAGCCCGAAAAAGCAGCAGAAAAGACTCGAGCTAAGTTATGGGAAAACTTAGAGAAAGAGAAGAGATCACTACAAACAGACCTTAAGCTGGCTCATGGGCGAATCACTTCGTTGACTGAGCAAATGAAGCAATAGAACATCGAAATGGAGAGGAAGGCTGCTCACTTGGCGCTGCAAGCTATTTATAGCTTGCGATCGAATAATCCTAACATGAATATCTTTGACCTCCCCAAGGAATACCAAGTTGTTCTTGCTTCTATGGTCGAGGCCGATGAGCAAGAAGAATAAGAGCCTGCCCTAGAGGATGATCAGTAGGAAGCAGAAGTCCCTGAAGATCAAACGAATGACCTAGAGGTTGGTGATCAGCCAGACAAACCAGAGGTCAAGGTGGCTGAAGTCAGGGATCCTGGTGATCAAGACCAGTGATCGTTCTCTCTTCTACTTAGAATAAAGTCTTTTATGCTTATTCTTTTTTCTGATGTAGTTCCTGGTCGTCCTTTGTACATATTTTTAAAATATATAAAAATGAATTTCGACCAATTGTGATAGCACTTTTATAACTTAAGTACTTCACAAAACATATAATGTATATCTGATCATAAAACTTGTAAAACGTTATAAATAACTAGATTATTAAAAACTTGAGATTACGACACAAGTAATTCTTTAAGAAGAATTGGAATAATCTTATTCATAGTATTTATAACAATGAAAACTTTACAAGTAAAAATGATCAAGCTATAAACGAGCTTGGAATTACTAATAATAAGGGCAAAGATACT